AAAAAAAAACCCAAAATTAAAATATTGCAATAAATTAATTTTTTGAAACTTTTAGTTCCAATGAAAAATGAATCAAAAAGCGTTAGGTCTTTATTTGACTTTTAAGAATTGGGGAACTTCAAGTCCACAAATATGGATATTATAAGGATTGAAATTTAAGGATCTTCTGGCCCTTACATGATTGAATAAGAATTGAGGAACTTCTAGTCTTCCATTAGTTGTATAAGTATAAAGATTCTTGAGTCTCTCACTTTGCTCCTTAATGAAAATATTGGATTTCTGACAAACAACAAAATACAGTTGAAATCTTGTAAGGAGATAGACAAGATAGATATCTATAATAAAAATGCAAATTTGTCAAAACTCATGCACTACATTTGTAAATGAGAAATATAATAAAACAATTCTTATATGTTTGGAATATTGTCATTCAACTTCTTTTTGTTGATGCACTTCTTTCCATTTGATAAGCCTATGTAACAAGAGCTTTCATACTTGAGATGAAACTGTGCTATCTCAATTGGTTAGAGACTCGTACTGATAACATGTTATATAATTAAGGGAATTTGTAAAGAGAAATAAGGAGTAGAGGAAGACAATAGAAATTAGTCACTAAACTTCTACCATTCATCCATGATAAGCACCTATTTACAAGCTTACAACTATAAGTATTTAACCCACAAATTATAGCTACTAATCACAATAATAAGAGTATAAATTATGAACATGAAAAAGTGGAGATAATAGGTGTTATGGTGGTCATCCACATTCACCTATATTTATAACAATTAGAAGCCCTTAGTTTTTAATATGTAAATTCCTATCTTAATATTTGCATTATGTATAATTATAACATGCTAGAAATATATTAAGGCATATTTTGGCCAATCTCTAGAAAGGGTCATGTTTTCTATATAGATATGTATATAAGAAATTAAGTATAAAGTTGACTTCATCTCTTTATTTTACAAGCAACAACGGTAATTTCTTTAAACTTGGTGTGTAATTCATGGGGTAATGCATTCCCTTCTACCTTTAAAAAAGGTATTTAGCTTTGTGGATAGTTGGATGAGTAATAATTAAAATGATTATATATATCTTCTAATATTATGGACAAGTCATAAAGCCCAAGAACCAAATGTCCCAACATAATGAAAAACAATTTCTTGCCGTCCATATTTTCGGTGCCACTTAAATGCTAAAATGTGACCTCTGGAATGGGTATACAATCACTACAAAATATATTTTTATCCATATATATAAAGTGGAATTCTCAAAAACCCAAAAAAATACTTATTGTCAAGAAAATTTCATATGCGCCTAGACTTATAAAACATGAGAAATCAAATAATTTGTCATTCTTGACAAAAACAAAAAACAAAAAACAAAAAAATGATTCCCAATTCCCAAATTCTTTTTATCATAAATCAAACGCACCTTAAAGATAAAAAATTAATACTAAGCTTTACTTCCAGGGGCTTATAACTCGAGTGATTAAGAGTATTTATCCTTGCATTCAAGATCTTATATTCAATTCTCTCCTCCCTCGATATCTATTATTTATACCTGAGTATGCTATTCTACTGTCCATGCTTAGGGCATCTCCAATAACAGTTTCCTAGATTTCAGGGAAAAAATTTAGATGTCCCTCTTGAACTACTTATTGTGTTTCATATTAATTTTAATTTGGCTTTGAGTCTTTTAAGCTTTCAAAATGTTCTAATGTTACCTTACAATAATGTGACAAAATTGACCAATTTCATTAAAGCGTACAATACAATAATTAAGTTAGCTAAATTGAAAATATAAAGATGAAATTAGTAGATAAAATACATAAACCATTTTGGTATTTCATCCTTCCTAATTTAGCATCTCAATGCAACTGGTCGCTTCCACGTCATATATTTTAGAAAATGAAATTCAACCACAACCACCACCAGCAAGTTGAGCACACTATTGACAAGGATCTCATTTGAATATTATTCCGTATATGCTTAAGGACTTGAATATTCCTCAACTTCCAATTATTTTATCGTCGCGTTCACTCCTATAATTTACAACAACAAAAATTCAAAGAAAGAAATTTGATTATTCCCCAAAACAAAAACAAAAAAAAACAAAAAAACACTTCCATCACTCTCTCAAATCTAGTGCCACCACACAATAAATTAAAGACCGTCTTTTTTGTTTGCACTCATCTTTTCGATCAAACCGCATCCACGGCTCAAATGATTCCACGTATGTAATCTGCCCCACATGTTAGGGCAATTTGACTACTCAAGTGAGAATGTGAGAGGGATAGGGAAAAGGGCAGGATTACAGTAAGTTATGAAATTGATCTCCATCTTAGTGTTTGAAAAAGAAAATTCAACTCGTTTGTGTTGTTGAATTAAGAGACTTAGCAAACTGCTTACTTCACGTAAAATCTTAAATTCTAAATACGAGATTTATTCATTCAAAACAATAATAATCTAATAACATAACATGTCAAAACGATGACAAAAACTCATTAATCATATTTGAGGTCTTTATTTGAGAGGGGGTGACCTTTTGAAGTCCAAACCAAACCAAAAGAACATCATACGTGACGAAGTCACAATAACGCATTTGAGGATTTCAGAAACCCCACGCATCCCTTATGCCTACCACATCATTTCCTCTCTCTCTCTCTCTCTCTCTCTCTCTCTCTCTCACCACAAAACCACCTCCACAGCTCCAAATTCCACACTCTCTCTCTATATATATATTGCCTCCAGTTAGCCTCTTACATTGGTTTCTCTTTAGCACCCTCCAATGTCTATCTTAACTCAAGCCAAGTTCCACCCAATTAGTCTCCAACACCAACTCCACACAAGCCACTCTCCAATCCTCCGCACAGCTGTGCATTGCTCTACCACCACCACCACCAAGCCCAACGAACCCCACCCGCCCCCAGCTCAACGACACAAGTTTGCTCTCAACATGGTCTCACCGTGCATGGGTGGCAAGTGGGTGCACAACAGTTCTAGTTTCCTTGGCCAAGTCCATAACTTGTGCAGCCAATTCACACATGTGGGCTGAGCCCATTTTAGCTGGCTTGGTTGGATATGTGCTGGCTGATCTTGGCTCCGGAGTCTACCATTGGGGCATAGACAATTACGGTGGAGCCTCAACTCCAATTTTTGGTGCCCAAATTGAGGCATTTCAAGGGCACCACAAGTGGCCTTGGACAATCACCAGGCGAGAATTTGCCAACAATCTGCATGCCCTTGCTCGTGTAGTGACTTTCATAGTGCTCCCCATAGACCTTGTTTGTAATGATCCAATTGTTAATGGGTTTGTTGCAGTGTGCTCAGGCTCCATTATGTTTAGCCAACAGTTTCATGCTTGGGCGCATGGCACAAAGAGCAGGCTGCCTCCGTTGGTGGTGGCATTGCAGGATTTCGGCGTCTTGGTGTCCAGGTCGCAGCATTCAGCGCATCACCGGGAGCCTTACAACAACAATTACTGCATTGTGAGTGGAGTTTGGAATGAGTTCTTGGATAAGCACAAGGTTTTTGAGGCATTGGAGATGATCTTGTTTTTTAAGCAAGGGGTGAGGCCTAGGTCTTGGAGTGAGCCTAGCTCTGAATGGATTGAAGAGACTGAGACCACTTCTCAACTTACAGCCCAATGAACATTCTTTTTTTACTTTTTACTTTTTTACTTTTGGAGCTTTCGATTACCATTTTTTTTTTACTTCCTAGATTTATTTACTCTTGCATAATGTATATTGTAAGATTTATTTCAAGAGATTAGGTGATAGCAGTCTATGTATATGATCATCACCAGCTCTTGAATCAGGTGCTTGAACTCAATATTTCTTTCGAACTATGTAGTTCAATATCATGTACTTAAAACAAAGACAACTTTTGTGTTCCATTTGATTGCAGATTATCATGTTCTTCTCATATGTTCTTCTTTCGTCAACATAATTAACTGAACCAAACCGTAATAATTTAATTTCGGCAGATGTTTTGAACTTCTGTAAACTGAGGTAATTAAATCGAATTGGACAGGACACTTTGTTAGCTTGACGACGGACATGGGTAAAACAACCTCTAGTGACCTGAGACAACACACTCTTTTGAGGATCTCTATCTCAACTGAAACCAAGTTCCGCCAAAATCCCCAGCACCAAACTCCCACCCTCAGCACAAGTATGATTTGCTCTTTCACAACCAATATCAAGCCCAGCGCCGACAACCTAGTAATCAGAGGCGCCATCCGTCCCCAGCTCAATGACCCAAGTTTGCTATCAACATGGTCTCATCGTGCGTGGGTTGCATGTGGCTTCACCATGGTGGTAGTTTCTCTAGCCAAGTCCATAATTGGTGTAGCCAATTCACACATATGGCTCGAGCCCATTTTAGCAGGCTTGATGGGCTATGTGTTGGCTCACCTTGGCTCCGGAATTTACCACTGGGGTATTGACAATTACGGTAGTGCCTTAACCCCAATTGTTGGCACCCAAATTGAGGCATTTCAAGGTCGCCACAAGTGGCCACGGACAATAACCAGGCGTCAATTTGCTAACAATTTACATGTTGTGGCTCGTGTTGTGACTTTCATGGTGCTTCCTATAGACGTCGTTTGTGATGATCCAATTGTTCATGGGTTAGTTGCAGTGTGCTCAGGTTCCATTATGTTTTGCCAACAATTTCATGCTGGGGCTCCCGGCACGAAGAGCCAGTTGCCGCCAGTCGTGGCACTGCAAGACTTGGGAATCTTGGTATCGCGGTCACAGCATGCGGCGCACCACCGGAAGCCTTACAACAACAATTAATGCATTGTGAGTGGAGTCTGGAATGGGTTTCTGGATAAGCATAAGGTTTTTGAGGCATTGGAGATGATGTTATTTTTGAAGCAATGGGTGCACCCCAGGTCTTGGAGTGAGCCTACCTCTGAATGGACAGAAGAAACTGAGAGTTCTTGAAAGAGATGAGATGATGTCTATATATATATATGATCATAGATGCCAATAAAACAAAAAAGTTGTGTTCAGCTTCATTGCAGAGCATCATGTTTTCCTCCAATATACTTCATCAATAAAACTATTTGTTTCACAGAAAGTACCATGAGTTATTCCCTGCAAATGACTCCTTTATAAGATGAAATACATTGTCCATCAGCAGTCTGTTTGACAGAATTACAAAAGGAAATCACCGATAAATCAGCCATCATTCAGTATGCACACAGAACCCTTTTTGAACTCCATTATTATTGAGAAGCCTCATGTTTGTTAGTTGTCAGCTCCTCCTGGAGTCGAGATGGAAGATACACAAGGGAACCAATATCGGCGAATACCATCTTTGTGGCCATCATCAATCATTGCAAGACCCTCCTGAGAAAAGTATGAGTAGTTTAGTAAATGTCGTCAACTTACATCTAGTAAAGTGTCGAAGGCATCAATTGCACGACCAGTGGTCCAAGATAGCCGTCTCTCTACCTCATCAACAGTCACAAATCCTTGAGCCTAAGAGAAGAGAACCGGAACATAAGCTTAAGTAACCCATCTAGATCGTAAACATCAAATAAGTTCGCTCAAATTTATACTCCTGCCAAAGTTAGCAGGAAGATAAAACAAAAATTTGCAACCTGGGCTAGCTCTAAAATTTCATTATGGTCTTTGTTCAACTCAGTTGGAACAGAACGAACAAGCTTTCGCTTTCCAACAGAAATCACCTCAAAACCATTGCCCAATACCTGGAATCAGGCAACAGTTGTTAGTATAATGCATCACTTACTCAACAATCATAATAATGTGATACTAACTATTGCAGAGATATAATATGAACTGCTTAAGACAAAGTTTATGAAATGCTTAAGAGTAGATAAAGTCGTAATAAATCATAAAATATAGGGTGTCAATAACATGAGATCAAAAGGGACTACTACTACAACTACTCATATACAATGATAACAAAACTTAATCAGCCTTCCAGCAATCACCAGGCTAACGGCCTAAAAGCACTAGCCATAGTGTTCTGTCCCGTAGCAAAAATGTGGCATGAATTCAAGCCCTTTAGGCCTAGTAACCCGACATTCAGGAGGTGAACCTCTTCTAGTAAGACCATAGGAGCACAAGATTTATTTTTATTCTTTGGGGGCTTGTGGGGCAATCCCTTATCTAAGGCCTTCCTAATTGAAGTACCTTATACTCACATCAATTTCTGACTGACACTTGTACAAGTAATGGATGGACAGGCTAACCATATTTACCTTCAGTTTACTTATAGCACGCAGGCAATCATCCTCAGACACAGCTTCACGGTCACTCCTTCGCCTCTGACGAAGCAGATTGCAGAGTTCTTGCAGGTTAATCAAACCTCCATTGTGGGGTCTTGTTGCCAAGCAAATGTCAACAATTTGCACCCCTGTCTAACCAATGAGCTCCATTTTAGAATATATATATATATATACACACACACACTCCCATATAAAATGCAGAGACTTTGCCTGCAACAATATATAGACATATATATATATATATAAAGCCAGATATCCTACAAAATTGGGCACTGAATTTGCAACTTAACAGAGGCCTGGAATATATATATATATAACTAAATATCTCTAAACAATCTTAGCAACAACAATAATAACCGCCAATTTTTGCAGATATGCAAAGAGATGAAGAAGAAAGTACCAACCAAGTTCATAATAGAAGTCACCAATCCCCAAGAGCTCTGCCCAGAAACCCTTATTGGAGGCCAAGGGATCTACTCCAACCTTAGTGCACATGTTATGAAATTGTGATCTGAAAGCAGGGTTCTTACGAATATCATTCTGTACAATACACATCTACAGTCAACACAAATTGGTACCAACAAAAAATTCACATAATTTGCTATTTGAATATGATTGAAGACAAAATGAGACCTTGTGTTTTCGAGCGAAATCTTCCAACTGGGTTCGAAAAGTGGTAAGCTGTTCCTTCATGAGATCGGTTCTGATCTTGGCGACATTCTCGCCTAACAACCGATATTGGTCCTGCAAAACCAGCATGGCTTGGTTAATTGAATACCAATAATTTGGGGCAGCAATCAATGAAGGAGAAGAATCATCACAAACCCTAGCAGCAGCGGCTGTCTGCAAGCCGCCAATTCCAGGTCGCCTCCTCATTCTTGTTCTTCTTCTGCGACCCACTTCAATGGACGAGTTGAGGAAAGGGAAAGTACGGAAAGGCAACTAATAAGTTTATCAAACTTCAGTCGCGTTTAAATTGATTTACAGACGGATGATTATCAACAATCAGAGTGGCGCAGCGGAAGCGTGGTGGGCCCATAACCCACAGGTCCCAGGATCGAAACCTGGCTCTGATAGCTGTAGAGTAGCTTCTCCCACTCAATATTTTTTATTGAACAATATTGAATGAAACATGTTCAATAAAACAGTGTGATAATTTCCGCGTTTCATTATATTATTGATCAAAAATAACAAAACAGTGTTATAATGAAACATTATTGGTCAAGAATAACAAAACAGTGTTATTCTTATTCCAAGAAAGTTTTTTTTTCCTCGTTTAAAACCTCCAAAAGATTCCCATGACATTCGCCAGCTGTATTATAGTAGCATGCGAGATACAGACTAATGCAAGCTTCGGCCCATTCATCTCACAAGAATAATAATAATAAAAAAATTGCCTTTGACCTCTCCAGAAAGAAGAAAAGAAAAAAAAAACGACGTTAAAATCCTGCACCTTTTTTTATAGCTTATGGGGTAATATCTTGCCGTTCTTTCAGTCTCTATAATGCTGTCAAAATAATAATAAATCGATTTGTAAGATCAAACTTTCAATCTGCATCTGTCGCTTTTGGCTTAACACATATTGCATTCTGAAACAGATATATTACTACAAATTGGATGGATCTGAGAGCAACAGACGCCATCGCGGGACAACTTACAAACCAGCACATTTTTGCTAAAAATTTTAATGAAGAAAATAGCAAACAATTCTTTTTACGAATTGAAATGCCACTTTGAAGGATTGAACAACCGTGCATAAAAAAGTGGTAAATAAGTTCTCGTTTCGCAAAGACATCCGTTCAATACTCTTCTGCTTTCTGCTGCAAAGAACTGTTTGTTCATTTGACCAGCGGGGGGAAGGTTCTTCCACTAAGGAAATATTCCCCCAGATTGCAGAGCAAGGAGCTTTGCATCTCTTTCAATTGTCGTCGGCCCTCCCCTTCTTTACAAATAGTTTCCAGCACCTGAGAATGTAATTTAGAGCAAACATAAAATTCACTGTAAGTTGCAAATAATAATCATGCGCTCTAAGCATTACTAATCTAACATATATTGGAGTAATGCAGAGAGAAGTGAAACCATGAAAGTAATTGCTGAAACCCAACCTGTTCTTGGTTCCTATTTCCCACTCCTCAGTAAGAACTATCATTGGCTTGGCCAAGTAAGACAAGGATATCTACAAAAGAATCCATAAAGCATCCGTCCCCTTCAGTTGAAAGATCAAATAGCCTCAATTCTAGCCAATCAAGTGATCCTTCTTCTCCTCTCACAGAAAATACCTAAGCAAACTTTTATAAAACCTTATCTACCCTGTTTGGAAACCGGAAAATGAACATTAACAAATAGGCATGCTACTCAACAACACCGACTAAATTAAGGTTAGTACCCGCCATGCCCCCTCAATCAACCTCTCTTCCGACCTTTTATTACCACAGGATACCAAAAAGATACGCCACAAGGATTACCGCCAGAGGGAAGACCAAAATAGCTTAGCGGCTAGACACCTAACTTGCATCCCAAATCTCTAGCTAGAGACCCAAGCCCATCCACATCCACATTGACACCCACTAACACATTCTCAGACAAGTTAATCCTTAACCCCAACAATAAGTGAAACAATTCAACAATTGACCAACCTATCAAACATGTTCTCATGCGCCGTGGAGAAGAACATAGCGTCATTGGACAACTGTAAATGGGACTCCTATGGATTTTAGTAGTAGTAGAAGAGGATCCATTTTTTCAGAGCTCATGTGTTGAACTAATAGACTTACTGCAACAAAGAAAATGGAATACCAACTTAATTTCTCATGTTAATGTGAGTGATAAAAGGGGATTCAAGTGGATCAAATTATATGATTTTAAGAACATATTAACCAAAATCAAATTACTGTTTGGCCATTAACTAATAAAATCCAACTGACGCGGATAGAAGTACATTGCTTTCCTCCTAGGACTACATTGGAAATGTGAGTCATTATTGCTTATGTCTAACTTAAAGAATAGAATTGTGGACAGATTAACTCTGTAGAACACTTGCACATGGCTTGACTTATACAGAGAGACACAATTGCAATGGTAACTCAGAGGAATTTACTAGAAAACAAAATGAAAACTCACGAAAATTCTCAGATATATTAAAATCCTCAAAGAAGCTAAAACAAAAAGAGAAACCCACTGCACTTCAACTACATCACATTAAAAAAATATTGCTTTTTTGATGCAAAGTGACCTATTAAATAGTGGGACAACATTTAAAAGAAAAGGTAAAAGAAATTTCAATTATTGAAACAAGAAAAAATGAATAAATTACTACAACTCCAGTGAAAACAGGGGATTTTATGCAACATCTTGATTCTTAAATTTCAGTGTGTGCATGTTGCAAACAATATACATTATCCGTAGTTATTTTCAAATATTTGGAATAAAACACAAATAAGTGAAAGCGTGTTAAGAGTGTAACCAAACCTGTTCTTACTTCTTGCTGGCTCCTCAGTAAGAAATAGCATTGGCTTGGCCAAGTAAGACAAGGCTTTCCACAAAAGAATCCATGAAGTGGCACATATATCCATCAATTCCAAAATATTTAAATTCTTCAGTCTTAAGATCCACCTTTAGCAGCCGTCGACCAAACACACATATTTTGAACACTAGTTCACCGCTCCTTGTAAAACAAAATGGCTCCAACATATGGCGGTGCAGGTTTACGGTAAATAATTTAGTCCATGATTCCACCACACCATGCTCTTTCATCACCCAAATGTCGAATTTAGAACAATTTCCCTGTAGTTCTTCACTCTTTAACAAGGCAAGGGACTCCTCGTACCTTAAAACAAAGCAACGCTCTCTTGTCAAACCTTCAGGCATCATTATCTCTCCAAATAATTCACTGCCCATATGAAACCACAAAATGAATTTGTCCTCCCCTACAGTACGGCGTTGAACCCAGTGAAGAGCACCATTGACAAAAGCATGTTTATCTACAGACCCATAATTCGAAGGAACAACATTACGATTATTATAAACTCCAAACATGAAATCTTCTGGAACAACAGCAGCACTAAGACTCTTCCAGGAGCCCCTGAGTAACGACCAAATCTCAACCTCACATGGGGTTTTCCCGTACCTATTACTCATACTTCTCAAAACTTTATAGTCATTGGTATGCGAATCATACCCAAAAGCATAGCTTGCTCTACGCTTACCAGTCTTGCTCACTGAAACACTACGCCCAGGCAAAGTTACGAACTTTCTAACAGAAGGGTTCCAAATGATTGTTTGGGAACCAACATAGGCAAAGTCAACAGCAAGGCATACGAGCCCATTACAAGCTCCTACCACATGGAAGTCCCGAACTACAACTCTTTCACTTGGGGAGAAAATAGCTTCTTTAATGTAAGGGTAAGGATTTACAAGCTTGGAATGCTCACCGGTTTCAGAGTTATCCCAATGCAACGAGTAAAGCGCACTGTTTTCGTTGCCGGCGAAAGCCCTCAGCAGAAGGAGGCCAACGGCTGCGTTCTGGTTGTTGGAATGGATTGTGCGGCGGAGGTGGCTGTGAATGAAGCTAGGGCTTTGAATCAGAGACCTCCATGGCTTGCACACTAAGGTGCATTTGATCAAACACTTGGTGGGCAACCTCTGGAGGATTTCCTGCATGATATCCTTTGGAAAATAGTCAGACATCACTTCTGAATTTGGTCTAATTTTCAGTGGAAGAGTTAGGGGTTGGGGGTTTTACGAGAGAGAGAGAGTGGTGCTTTCTGATACAGACAGAACGATTGCTTATCATTCTCCTGAGGTTTTGACCTAATTTTCATTTCAATTTAGGAGATTTCCGAGAAAGTACTGGTTGGTGTTTTTGCACCCTCTAATTTGTCCAATTTCAACAAAATACCCTGTAATTTTAAGACGTTGCAATCATACTCATGTAGCTTGACTTTAGAGCATCTGTAAGAAAGTACATCGGCATTTTCATGATCTAGAGTAGACAAATGAGTAGGCAAAATAAACTTGCATATTTTAAAAATAATAGGTATATTATATTCCACATTTCTCAATGTACTTTTCATCCCGTAGTAATTTTTTTCCACCAACTATCATACATGAAATCTATATATAAAGCAAAATACAGAGAATGATGAAACATTCAAAATACCATAAACTACTTTTGATTAATTCAAATATTAAGAATTAAAATTATTAATTAAATTAAAATAATATCGTAAATTCATTTTTTTTTTTAAGTGCTTTTCATTTGATTGTCCTCATCCCAAAGCTTTTATGTGGAATATACTTTTGCATGTCACCAACGCCTCTCTTATTTATTTATTTATTTTATTTATTTTATTATTCTTCTTGATTTGTCATCCTTATAACCTATGTCAGAGATATAACCAATGAAATTAATTAATGTGCTGTCACTTCAAACTGAGAATTTTTTTCCAACCTCGTGTATTGAATTTTCGTGATTATTGATGGTAAGATGGGCTTGGTGCAGAGGATGAAGAGGAAAACTGAACCCGTCAGTCACTTCTTGCATATGCGTTCACGTTACGGAATAATTAGGATTTCTGACCAAACTGAAATATATATATATATATGTGTGAACTATATAGCCAGAATTCCAAAAAACAAAGAAATTACTCCTTTGGTATCCCACTCAAAAAAATGAATTTAAAAATCATGATTCTTTTTAAAATGTGAGTTTTCGAATACAAATTTTAAGATCTAAAAACTTGTTTGGTATTCAACTTCAAACCTATTTTTAAAATTTTAAAACTTGTTCCAATTAATTATTATTTTTAATTGAAAAAAGGAAAAGCACAAAAGCAACTCAAGACCTCTCCTTCTAACTCTCTTTATTTGATGAACTAACGAATTTTATTTTATTTTATTCCTTTAATTAGATAGTTTACTAGCCTCTCCGTAAGCGCTTCCTCGCTTGATAATTTCAATTCTTAATGTTTGAATTAACCAATGGCATTTTCTGATATTTTGAATGTTTCACTATTCTCTGCTTTTTGCTTTATATATATTATGAAAAATATACCTTAAAAAAGTAAGCTTGGAGCAATCCCAACAGTGAAGAATCATGAACTCAAGTTTAACAAAAAAAAAAAAAGGGGTTGCAAACAAAGCTGTCACCGACGAGATATGGGCCGAAGGTGCTGTCCCTAACGAGATTTGGACAGAAGCCGTTGTCGCTGATGAAGAGATTTGGGTCATTGACATCGTCGTCTAACATCAGAATGGTCTCGATGTCATCAATCCAATCTGGTGATGAGTTCGATGGAGCCTCCTCCACTGCTGATGACTCAGTCGACGGTGGAGAGAGAGAGAAACTGTAAAGTCTCACTTTTTTGTTTTCAATAATTGGGGTGTTTTTGAGTTTTTTTTTTTTTTTGTTTGGGTTTTTAAAGATAGGCTTACCAAACTAATTTTTTGGGTTTTGGACTTAAAATCTATTTTTGAATTTATAAAATTGAATTCAAGTAGGATACCAAACAGGCCCAAAACTAGGCTGGATTAATGATTTTGAACAAATCATGTTCAATAAATCAACTAAGCTAGGATTCAATTAAAACTTCAAAGCAAAGGCTTGAAACAAAATTGAAGTTATGGGTTCTCTATATATACTTACTAACACAACTTGAGGCGCTTGATAGGTCAATTGGAGGTCAGGACAATGTGTGTGCCACCTTGTCTTATCCTTTTATAGTTACAGGGTTTATTTTTTATTTTTCATATACAAGCTAATATAAATTATAACGGAATGGGGAGGATTTTTTCACACACACACTATTAAGGTGTCATGGGAATTCAAACATGAGACCATTGGTCATCAAGGGTTTAAGGAATTTGTATAGAGTCATTCATATAAGAACAAAAACTTAATATAATAAGTCTAAGTCAAGACAATGACATGATCACTGTCAAAAGTTAACTTATAAGACCATGAGTTGCAGTGAGATATTCGGGTACAGTTTCAATTATATGTCAAATTCATTCATGCGGTTTCAATTATATTTCAATACCACCACCTTTGTCAAAATTTCTTATTTTTCCTCAATTGATCTGACAGAACCAAGGGTATTATATCCGTTCAAGTTTTTCCAATAAAATGAGAAGGAAAAAGATCTTATTTTCGATTCAAAAGAACTTTTCAAGGTAATAAACACAAAATTTTGAATTGCCAAAATGACAGTACATCTGGTCCATAACAACTCATAAGTTTGGATACAAACATTACCTCAATCAACAGTTTATTGATCCACAAAAACAGTTCATCCAAAATAAAGCTCTGCAAAACCAGTATGTCATGTCACCCTATGTTTCCAATACATATACGTACCCGGATATGAAAACTCCCAGGAGAAGCCAACGGCAATTCAAATAAGTAGATTTCCCACCGCGTTGTCTAGCTACCCTGTTAACCACCCCTCAGCTTCCAAAAGAAGACTGGTGGTGGAGCTGATCACATACATACATGAGGGGGAAATTCTCCGTTTAGGATTTTATGTTAAGAATTGGTTAAGGACTTCTAATATCTCAACCATTGTAAAGGATATACGGTGCATATCAGAAAAATATTCAACCTGCTATCATATCTAATGGATAGCTGACATTAGAATCTACGAACTAATCCTTAACTCAAATCCTTATTAGAAAAGCTCCCGTTGATGACTGTTAGTCATGATCATCATCAGCTAACAAACAGGACATGCGTGTGGCCACTTGAGAATGCAAAATGTCTCTACATTGCAATGAGAGTGAAAATAAAAGATATCTGAAATTATCAAAAGAAAGTCAAGAAAAAAAACTGATTAAAGTGAAATTCAATCGAAGTTTCCCCATGAGTGCATGTGCATATATGTTGCAAGAATTTGAAGACATATTTTTGCACTCTTACTTCTTGGTTGCTCCTCAGTAAGAAATTGCGTTGGGTTCCCCAAGTAAGACAAGGCTCTCTACGTAATAATCCAAGAAGTAGCAATCGTTTCTATCCCTTGTAAGGTATTTTATTTGTTCGGTCCGAACGTCCAACGATAGGAGACCTCCACCAAACATTTTGAACACTATTTCACCACTATTTCTCCAACATAATGGCCTTATTGTAAATTCTTGATGGCGAGCACTGAATAGTCCACGACTCGTGGACACCATACTCTTTCATCACCCATATGTCATAAGAACAAGGATGGTATACTCTTGCAGAACAAACATTAGCATTTTTGTCACACGCTGGGGAACCCTAGTCTCGCCAAACGATTCACTCACCATATCAAACAACATAATTCCATTTTCCCCTTTCATCGTATGGAGTTGAACCCAATGCACAGCATCATTGACAAAAGCAGGCTGTTGGATGAGTTCAGATAAAGAGCCTCGACCAGTACTTCCAACTCCAAGACTCTTCCACGAGCCCCGAGCTAAGGACCAAATCTCTGCTTGATAACATTCGGTCTGCCCAGGTAAATTAACAGTTCCCAAAACCTTATAGTCGTTGTTACGCGAATCATAGCCAAAGGCATACCTAGCTATATACTGGGATTCCAAATTATTAGTTTATTGTAACCTAAGGAAAGGCATACGAGCCCGTTACAAGTCCCAACCACGTTGAGATCCCAGCCTGAACGTTCTTCATTGTCAGCGAAACGGTCGATAAGCTGGGTATACTCACTGAACTCGGGATTGTCCCAACGGAAGGAGTAAATCATACCAGTGTCCGCTTTCGTGGTGACAAGTAGTAAAAGGTGAGAGTCGTTTTGGTTGTTGGGTTGGATTGTGCGGCTGAGGTGGGTGTGGATGAAGGCAGGGCTTTTGATTAGAGACCTCCATGACTTGCACACTGCACTGAATTTGATCAAAGATTTGGGGTCCAACCTGACAAGGATTTTGTCTGTAATTTCGTCAGGGAAGTGGACTGACATCCTTGTTTTCGATTTCCCAAGACTGCTCAAGTTCCAACAGGAGGGTTAGGGTTTTGGGGCTTCTTCTATAAAAGGTATAGTCGAATACCAATCCCTTATTTGTGCTTTAACCTAATCGTCCACGGTGCCAGTTTTGTAATTTATAAGAAGTTTGAAGCCTTGTTGTTATGTTGTAAAAGGGTTTTACTTGTATTTCTAAATTCCATTTCATGTATGATTTTTTCATAATTAGGACCCCTATATTGGGCATAATAGTGAATCTTCCAAATATAAAATCACTTGCGCAAGACCCAAGACTTGATGTTCATTTTTTTTGTTTTTACTATGATGAGATTAAGCTTCACTTCCTATTTCTCAAAAAACAGCTTTACTTACTATTCAATAACTAGTTTTTAATTAGTTTCTTTATTGATTTCAAGGCAAAATTAATAGCCAAAACAACCGTATTTGGTCCCTTGACTTTAAAATACCAATTGTTAATCAATCTTTCTTATTCCTCTTTCAACTAAATTCCAAAACAACCTAATAACAATCTAATAACACTCCGAATTCCTATCAACTTCAATCCCAAATCAACCTAATAACAATTTGGAGTGTTATTTAATTTGAGAGCAGTTGATCACCAGTGTTAATTAACTCCAGTGATTTTGCCCCTCCTTGATTTTTCAATTGTCCTACCAAAAAATTTCAGCACGTATTCGCAACAGCAATTGTTTCTACATTTCAAATTTCATTCCAGACCAGAACTGTGCTAAAAATGTATACACATGTTTATTGGCAAAGCAAGCTCTAAATGTAAATGTGTCATTCATAAGTACCTAAAACTTCAAAATTGTAGTGTGCATCCGTAAAGAAATCTCAACTTTTGTTCTGTATACATGAACCCAGCGGAGAAGACTTCAAAAAACATATGTATATTCTATTCATTTTCACTAACTAGGAAAACCTATTCTGTGTTGAAAAAGAGATTTGCTAGCTACGCCGATACCCCTGTAACTTCCTTTGGTATCAAAAATAGAAAACCAACAGGAATGAAAGTGCAGAGAACTTGAATGGCAATTCCCAGAGAAAGGTTGTCAAAAGAACCTGAAGAGATGTTTAAAGCTGAAGCCAACCCAGCACCGACAAATGACCCCAATGTTGACCCTAAGTTGTTTATCGACATAAAGAGGGCGAACAGAGTCCCTTCAATTCCAGGTGGGCATAGCTGTCCAGATAAGATCAGAAATGGCATAAACCTGCAGCGGTTTATGGAATTTTGCATGTTAGTAAGGTACAAAGGGTAAAAGCGTTACTCACTTCCATATTTTCTGAGTCCCATAATTTGTTTCGTGAATTAGAGAAGAAAACTGCTATGAGCAAGTATGTACGTACTTGAATTGATTGATTGCATCACTGAGAGCTGAGCCACAAAGCACCATAATTCTATCTGATATTCCGTAGGTGAGATTTACTCGAGAGACTAAAACCATATCTAGGAGACCCAAGAAAGACAAACCAACATGAGACAACCTGCAAGGATCAGGACAGAAACATCATCATCAATAAAATAATTTCAACAAAAAGGAATCCATTTACAGTAAAAATATTAACAGAAATGCATGTACTTACATGAGGATCCTTCTTAATTTCATTGTCTTTAAGTACTGATTATATACAAAGGTTCCAAGCATGAGGCCTAACCATCCCACAACACGTGCAGTGCCCAAAAAGGAGGCTTCCAAGCTCAAAAACTCTGTTTGATAATAAAACATCACAGTCGAGAGGTTTGGAATGGAAACATGTGCTAGGAAAAACCAAGCCATTGGTCTGAGCTCAAACAAAGTAAAACCAAAAGTAACAAAGATTAAATATTATAATATATCCACATATGAGAAAAATAGCAAATCATATCTCCAGAGAAACAATTTAGATTGGCTTGAAGACCATATACCAACAATGGGCAAAAACATTTAAACTTTACTTCCCCATAAATTTATGTACAGCAATCCTATTAGATGATTTGACCCACCCATTCTCCAAGGACTATTCTAGACCACTTGGAATTTCTATTAAGTGACCAGATCATCTCATTGTGTAACAATGGCAACGCCCCCTAGAGAGGAAAAACCTTAACTTGTGTGTTCAACTGCCATGTAAAGAAACCCGTGTAAAAAAAATACATAAATAAATAATTGAATTACCTCAAAATGAGTGGTTGTTTAAATGCATGGCACAAACTAAAAGTGGCTGCTTTGAGAGAGTGGAACCACCGTGAAGGCAACGAGTCAACTTTTTCAGCAATCTGGCCTTTACCAGTAACTCGTTTCTTTTTGCCGCCCTTACTACTTTTCTTTCTCCTTAACATGCTGATATTGGGTTTCTTCTCTGAGAAACTATCTTCATCTAGAAAACTACTATTTCCATTCACCCCATCGACACTACTTGAGTCATAAAATTCGGGCAAAACTTTACTATCTACAGTAACAGATTTCTCCTCAACCAAGCCACATGATAACAACTGTATGGATGGTAGTACAGAAAAAAGAAGAAAAATAGTATGTATCTGTAAGTTGGTTAGTGCATATCCTCCTGACAAACTCCCGCATATGCCGCCCAAAGCCATTGAAAACCATGATATCGACTGGAGGTCTCCAGCAAATGTGGCCCTGATAAAGGTAATTTTAAGATATCAAGTTGTATCCTTGAGCGGATTAAGAAGGGGAATGAAAAAATCCGTGAGAGGTACTAAAAATGAAGTAGATCCCTGATCAACCAGACAAACTAGCAGTAGAAATAGGGGGAAATGAAAAAATAGCCATCTTCTTTTGGTGGAATATAAGACATTCCACCACAACTGATCTGATAGGGGAGCCTACCACTGGGGCAGCAATAATTATGCTAAACTCCCAAAATAAGGCATGAACAAGTTAAGAAGTTCATGTGGTTGTATGCCAACAGATTTATATTGTTCACAGAATAATCTTGCAGGATACTTGATATGCAACTCAAACTGCATTGCAAAGAAATGGGAAGAATCTCAGTTTGTGTGCGTACCGCTCACGTCTTGCTGCCTCAGCAATCATTGCATCAACTACTACATCTGCCATGGCTGAGCCCAGGTTCTGGACTGTTAAGAAGGTCATGAGGTTCCATTTGGAACTCCTCAACGTTGCATTCAGGCCAAGGATAAGCCACGGCACCAGAGAGAGCACAGTTGCAATCACTAAGTACGGAACCCTTTTTCTTCCTTTTATTGGAATACAATCAGACACAATTCTGCATACATGCAATCAGATTTCAAAGGACCAATAAGAAACTGTTAACACAAAAAGGCAACTTCAATGTCTGGACCACAAACATTGAAGACATGCAATAGGTATAATCGCCATTCTTTTTACGTTTTTATAACAAGTACAATTGTCATTCAGACTGCTAATTTTCATGTCCAACTAGTATTTGCTCATGCACTCATATGAAATGTGTTGTATGCGGGAATATTGAGATTATAAATAAATAAATAAAAGGAAGCACGTCCTCACTCAGAACAACAATAGAGATTCTATGTTTAGGATGAAATACCATTATTAAAAAATAATAATAATAAATAAAATAAGCAAAATCATCATGCACTTCCTTCATTATTATTGATATCCTTTTCTTTCGTCACATTAGGTGACGATTCCATTTTCATTAAATTCCTCCAAATTTGCTTCTAAATGACTTCACTGTGAGGATTAAGTTGTGCTTTGAATTTCTACGAAGACTAATGATGGAACCTTGTTCAACGTCATTAGACAACATGATGCAACTAGAACTGCATTACAAACTTAGGACAGATATTTGAATTCAAGTGTAAATGGCATAAATGTAAATAAGCAAAGCTGTTAGCTAGAAGATCCATGAACACATATAAAACAAAATCATACGTTCTTGTTCCCAGCGCTTATACTTAGAAAAAAAAGATCCTTACCCATATAATGGTTTAATGCTCCATGGGAAGAAAGCAATTGAAAACACAAATTGGGAAGATGAGGGTGACAACTTAAGCCTATCTTTCAGCTGGTAAGAAACTGCCGTCCATACAAAGGATCTGAAACCCTACAATATATCAAACAGGTACATATCAATTACCATATCGATTGGGATGATTTAAAATCAAACAAAATTCACCTGCCTACTAATAACATCAGAAACTTCTAAACAAGGACAGAGCATTTCCCATACATAATCTTACTCAAAATCACCCAAAATCAATAAATACACACAACCCAGAAACCCAAAAGGCTAGAATCACAAATCTCCACGTCCTAGAAACACAAAAAACAGCATACTATAATGACCCAAAAGATTAAATTCCTCACAAATCAACAAAAGAAAGTAACACGGAGGTTTTATCATCTCAGAGATGGAGGGGGAAGAGAATGAAAAACCTGGGTGAAGTAAACCAAGCAAACGAGAAAGAGAAACGAGGCTCCAAATGCAGCTCTTAATCTTTTCAGCCATGGTATCATTTTCTCTGGGGCTTCGAGTTTGAGCTCGCCCAAATGGACTCTCTTTTCTACGTCTTCTATCAAACTGAAGACAATTCAAGTTATTTCAGTTTCCCTTTGGAGCCTTTCAACTGCTCTGGGAAAATATTTGTTGGACTGACATTTATACCCATTGTTCGTATCTTACTTGTAGTATACAGTCACCTTTTCAGGTGGAGCTTCTCGACATTTTGGTGGGGGTTACTTATATAGTTTGTATGGCTTTTGGCCACGTCCAGCGATCCTCCCATTTATCGACACCTCAGCACTCGGGCCCACTGTAAGTCTGCCATGAAGTGGATGGTGTCCCAGCCGTAGATCATGAGTTTTTTGGGTAGATAAAATATTCTTGGAAAATGATTTTGTTTTTTTCTGGAGGTATATTTGACGCATGAGCATATATCACGGGCTGGCCCCCCAAAAGGTAACCCAAGACTTGTGCAATGTCTTAGATTATTTCCGATTAATGGCATTATTTTTGGTGTATCT